GTGTGTGTGTGTGTGTGTGTGTGTGGGGTGTTGTGTAGTAATGTGTGTGTGTGTGTGTGTGTGTTGTGTCGTAGTGTGTGTGTGTGTGTGTGTGTGTGTCCAGAATTACCGCTCTGAGCCGTGTGTTCGGCGGGGTGTAGTGTATAGCAGTCCTCTGCTGACCTGTACTCCCGTGTTTGTGCAGGTATCGCCCACAACTGACTGAATGATTGTGTGCTTTTCAAAAATAAAACCCTTGACCTTGGAAGCTGTACAGGAAGTTTACTGAAGCACTTCCTGCTCCATTCCCTCGACGGGCCAGCGAGGAAATGAGCAGTTAGACCTTGAGAAGATCAAGCTAAACGCCTGTTTACTCTGGACTCGAGCTTTATTCAGAAAAATGTCATCACTAGCTGTGATTCAGTAGCTGATGAACGCTCGGCTTGGTTTTCATTTATAAATTAATATTTAGTTTTAAATAATGCCAATAAGTCTTCATGATTTGTCATTCAGCACTAATACAAATAACATGCAACAGACCAAAGAAAGACACAGCGCTTTTAGATTTTCATGTGTTTTACATCAGCATCACGTGATGCACAGAAAACAACAAGATCATGAAATGTAAAATCAAACTACTTGCTTTATAAACAACACATGTAATAAAATCCAGGATTAGACAGCAGAAGGCGCCCGTAGTAGACTGCATTGTTCACATGCTCCGCAGATTTGCCTCTGATTGGTTGCAGTGGTTCAAAAACACGTTAAAAGAAACCTTTGGTGCTCTTCGCAGAACACTTCCACAAATTAAAACCTTTATTGCATTTATTAACACATTTAGTCCCTTTTTCCCCCATAATATAACGCCTTCATTCTGTAGATTTAATTGATAGATTTATATATTAATTTAAATGTATATTTAGATATTTAACTGAATTTGTTGCAGTTGTATGGTAGAATTTCATTGTAGTTCAGAAATTTGATCAGTGAAATGAAAGTGTCAAGCCCCGTCTGCTGCTTTAAATTCTCCAGCTCGTTACAGCAGGATGGATTCTGATTGGTTGTCAATGTTTGTATTGTTCATCAGCTGAAAAAAATCGCTCTGAAAGTGATTCCAAAGATATCGTCTCTCTGTGCCTTTAGCGTTATAGCTGTGGTGTGGATTTTTAGAACTAGAGAGTGAGAGTGAGAGTGAGTGAGAGTGAGTGAGAAATAGTGAGAGCGAGTGAGAGCGAGTGAGAGCCAGTGAGCGTGTGAGTGAGAGCGTGAGCGTGTGTGTGAGCGTGTGTGTGAGTGTGAGAGAGTGTGAGAGAGTGTGAGAGAGTGTGTGTGAGGGTGTGTGAGGGTGTGTGAGGGTGTGTGAGGGTGTGTGAGGGTGTGTGAGGGTGTGTGAGGGTGTGTGAGGGTGTGTGAGGGTGTGTGAGGGTGTGTGAGGGTGTGTGAGGGTGTGTGAGGGTGTGTGAGGGTGTGTGAGGGTGTGTGAGGGTGTGTGAGGGTGTGTGAGGGTGTGTGAGGGTGTGTGAGGGTGTGTGAGGGTGTGTGAGGGTGTGTGAGGGTGTGTGAGGGTGTGTGAGGGTGTGTGAGGGTGTGTGAGGGTGTGTGAGGGTGTGTGAGGGTGTGTGAGGGTGTGTGAGGGTGTGTGAGGGTGTGTGAGGGTGTGTGAGGGTGTGTGAGGGTGTGTGAGGGTGTGTGAGGGTGTGTGAGGGTGTGTGAGGGTGTGTGAGGGTGTGTGAGGGTGTGTGAGGGTGTGTGAGGGTGTGTGAGGGTGTGTGAGGGTGTGTGAGGGTGTGTGAGGGTGTGTGAGGGTGTGTGAGGGTGTGTGAGGGTGTGTGAGGGTGTGTGAGGGTGTGTGAGGGTGTGTGAGGGTGTGTGAGGGTGTGTGAGGGTGTGTGAGGGTGTGTGAGGGTGTGTGAGGGTGTGTGAGGGTGTGTGAGGGTGTGTGAGGGTGTGTGAGGGTGTGTGAGGGTGTGTGAGGGTGTGTGAGGGTGTGTGAGGGTGTGTGAGGGTGTGTGAGGGTGTGTGAGGGTGTGTGAGGGTGTGTGAGGGTGTGTGAGGGTGTGTGAGGGTGTGTGAGGGTGTGTGAGGGTGTGTGAGGGTGTGTGAGGGTGTGTGAGGGTGTGTGAGGGTGTGTGAGGGTGTGTGAGGGTGTGTGAGGGTGTGTGAGGGTGTGTGAGGGTGTGTGAGGGTGTGTGAGGGTGTGTGAGGGTGTGTGAGGGTGTGTGAGGGTGTGTGAGGGTGTGTGAGGGTGTGTGAGGGTGTGTGAGGGTGTGTGAGGGTGTGTGAGGGTGTGTGAGGGTGTGTGAGGGTGTGTGAGGGTGTGTGAGGGTGTGTGAGGGTGTGTGAGGGTGTGTGAGGGTGTGTGAGGGTGTGTGAGGGTGTGTGAGGGTGTGTGAGGGTGTGTGAGGGTGTGTGAGGGTGTGTGAGGGTGTGTGAGGGTGTGTGAGGGTGTGTGAGGGTGTGTGAGGGTGTGTGAGGGTGTGTGAGGGTGTGTGAGGGTGTGTGAGGGTGTGTGAGGGTGTGTGAGGGTGTGTGAGGGTGTGTGAGGGTGTGTGAGGGTGTGTGAGGGTGTGTGAGGGTGTGTGAGGGTGTGTGAGGGTGTGTGAGGGTGTGTGAGGGTGTGTGAGGGTGTGTGAGGGTGTGTGAGGGTGTGTGAGGGTGTGTGAGGGTGTGTGAGGGTGTGTGAGGGTGTGTGAGGGTGTGTGAGGGTGTGTGAGGGTGTGTGAGGGTGTGTGAGGGTGTGTGAGGGTGTGTGAGGGTGTGTGAGGGTGTGTGAGGGTGTGTGAGGGTGTGTGAGGGTGTGTGAGGGTGTGTGAGGGTGTGTGAGGGTGTGTGAGGGTGTGTGAGGGTGTGTGAGGGTGTGTGAGGGTGTGTGAGGGTGTGTGAGGGTGTGTGAGGGTGTGTGAGGGTGTGTGAGGGTGTGTGAGGGTGTGTGAGGGTGTGTGAGGGTGTGTGAGGGTGTGTGAGGGTGTGTGAGGGTGTGTGAGGGTGTGTGAGGGTGTGTGAGGGTGTGTGAGGGTGTGTGAGGGTGTGTGAGGGTGTGTGAGGGTGTGTGAGGGTGTGTGAGGGTGTGTGAGGGTGTGTGAGGGTGTGTGAGGGTGTGTGAGGGTGTGTGAGGGTGTGTGAGGGTGTGTGAGGGTGTGTGAGGGTGTGTGAGGGTGTGTGAGGGTGTGTGAGGGTGTGTGAGGGTGTGTGAGGGTGTGTGAGGGTGTGTGAGGGTGTGTGAGGGTGTGTGAGGGTGTGTGAGGGTGTGTGAGGGTGTGTGAGGGTGTGTGAGGGTGTGTGAGGGTGTGTGAGGGTGTGTGAGGGTGTGTGAGGGTGTGTGAGGGTGTGTGAGGGTGTGTGAGGGTGTGTGAGGGTGTGTGAGGGTGTGTGAGGGTGTGTGAGGGTGTGTGAGGGTGTGTGAGGGTGTGTGAGGGTGTGTGAGGGTGTGTGAGGGTGTGTGAGGGTGTGTGAGGGTGTGTGAGTGTGGGGGTGTGTGTGAGCGTGTGTGAGCGAGTGAGTGAGCGAGTGAGAGAGAGTGTGAGAGAGTGCCTCCATCAATCAATGAAGAGAACACAACCAAGTCTTGCCCCATATTTTTTCCGTTTTTGATGTTTAATTTGATATACAACGCAATGCAAAAAAAAATAAAAAATTCTAAAGAAGACTGTTGCATTCAGAGATGAGTCTGATGATTCACAGCTGCTTTAAATGGACAGTTCACTTGAAAATGACAGCTGTCATCATTTTGTCCCCTGAAACTTGTTTCCAAACGTACTTTCTGTTGTGGAACATAAAAGATATGATGAAAGTCAATTGGAGTTTAACAGCAACACTTTTTATTTTTTGCGTTCCACAGAAGTCAGTCGTACAGTTTTGAAACGATGTGAGGGAGATTGAATGATGGCAGAACACACAACACTCCCATAGACTGATGTCTAATTCATTATTAAATCAATATGTCTTTAAGTATTATTTTATACCTTACATTTTAGAAAGAAACATTTTTATCAAATTGAAAGTTGGTGACAAATTATCCTGTTCTATCAGTCCTAGTGCAAACATGTGTTTAATGCTGCTGTGTAACGTGCTTGTGTTTGTGTCTAGTGCGCACAAGACGATAAAGCCACTATCAGATGTGAGACGTCTCCTCTGTCCACACCGTCCTCCGTGAGACTCCATAAAGGAGCGCTGCACACCGCCAGCCACGAGGACATCAGAGACATACGGGGGTCAGTCGCACACCCACAGCGTTATAGTGATGAGGATCGTTCATACAGGAGCAGAGATGTGACATGTGTCTCTATGTCTCTGTGTCTCTGTCTGTCTGTCTGTCTGTGTCTGTGTGTG